GACCCAGCTTGAACTCCCAAAACACACCGGCGCGACTCGCGCACCATCTATGAGCCGTCCCGTGCAGATAGCCGAGGTTTGGCGGCCGGCGCTCGGTTCGTTGCGCCTGGTATTTTGAGGCAAATTTGCCTGGCTCGCGCTGGGCGGCACGTGAAATTGCTGGCGCGGGTCTTCGGCGCTTGTGTTCGTGGAGAACCACGGCCCTTGTTTTACTATGTTGCCCGTTGTGTGCTGCGTGTGCGACGTGTGTTGCAGTTAAGGTCCACGTTCAACACATCAATGCTGTTAAGCGCTCGCACAGCCCTTGCTGAGATTGGTGTTGCCATGTTGAAATTAGGGTGCATTAGGCCGCGGTGTTTCGATACGTGGTGTGCATGGTCGCATCGGCTGCGCAGCCACTTTGCGCCAGGCGGGGCATGTGGTGTTGGCAAAGTGTACGGGCATGATAAGTTGTCTCCATTATACAAACGTCATGTATCTGGGGCCACGACACGTGTGCTTAGGCCTGATGGGAGCGTGATATTCGCGCTGAAAGCGTGACGTGGATACAGTACGTTAGCCCACTAGAAGTGAGCTGTGTTTGCCACTCAGCACTAGTGGGTCATCTGGGTCATGCGTGTACACTATTTTGTGTCAAGCTGTGGTGTGTTTCGGATCAGCGGTCGTTTTCGACAAAAATGTGTTGAAAAGAAAATTTCCGCCGAGATATAACTTATGATTTATCTTGTGCCTACATGCGAACATGCTGAATTAGTGTATATGTGGATTGTTTCGGGTGTAACTGAACAACCAGCTTATTGTTTAGCAAACAATGCTTATTGCAAGCACAGTGAAAATGTGACACCAAAAATGATTTATGGAGAATGAAGTCAGACAAGTTCCCCTTGAGACTTGCCCTCCCATCTCACCGCACCCCCTTTAAAATAGCTCTGGCCGTAAGAAGGCCATGCGTGGGCTGTCATTAGAAAAGAATGGAAGCGTGATGCCATGTGCGCCACAGAATTTAACCATGTGGTATCTCGCGTGAGTAGTGTGCTGAACAGAACACAAATGGAATCTGTCGGACAACTTCGACGGCATCCTGTTGCCCGATATCGATTCCAAGCTGAGTAACCGGTCCTGCGCCTGCGCTTCACGTTTTCCGGGGCGTCAGTGAATGTAGTTCGCATAATGCTGGCGACTTGAAAGGCTCAAATGGCGAATGCCGCCTCCTTAGGTAATGTGAAATATCCAATGGTTGCGGGTGGGTTGGCAGTGACACTGTTTCTCCCGCAATATGACTTCCAAATCAGTCTTGATTTTTTCTGATCTGGCATTGCAACACAAATCAAAAATATGTTTTATTGAGCTTGTTTCCCGCTGCTCTGACTTCAGGTTTACACCTGGCATGCATTGAAAAGATTTCGGTGGTGCAGGTCAGATTGACACGCGCGGTACGTAAAAAGTGTAGACAGCCGGCAGCAGGGATGACGAATTTTAATGAAGGACTTCCTTTTGTGAAGGAGCGTTCCTTTTTACGCAACGCCATTGTCTCCGTGACGTTTAATTCCATGCGCTTTGGATTAGAGGGACTTTCATCTTCCGGCTTCCTCCTCCTCATTGCGGGAAAGCTATCCGAAGCAGCTAATAAGGGGCCGTCCATAAATTACTTACGCATTTCGGGCAACTTTTCAACACCTTTTGTCCATGGTTGCGCACTGTTTACGCTGTGCTAAAACTCCCATATTTCCCCTAGTCACCCCGTAATGAGCGCAAGTTCCCAAGATTGTTACGGTCGTTCGGTCGTTATTGAGCTAAAATTGCGAAATAATGTCATGCATGTTGCTTGACATGGGGAGAGGCCAACGGTATCCAGCTTTTAGATGTGTTTATGACTTGTAGGATTTGCAGCTGGCCGTAACGTCACGCTGTCCAGCTCCCGGCCCCTCCTCCTCGTTGCGTGTCGGTTACGTTTCATCAGAACGCTCGCCCCCTCTTCATACGCTTTGTAGCATATGGACAACCCCTAAACGTGACGTTTATGCGCTGAACACCATGCATATTAAAGCCGGGAAAACCCAAGATTGGACGATTATTTCAGCGTATAGGTAAAAGTGTCTCAAAATGGTTACAGCTATATAGTGTATAAATAAATATTTACCAACAGCCCAAGAAACAACGAAAACTGTTGCCGTCCCTCGGGATTTAGGACAAGCGATAAGTTATGAGAGGCGTCTACAAATTACGTCATGCATGGAGATGGCGGGGGCGTAGATCTTGTTGGAGCGTGAGCGAAGCGTAAGGAAGATGAGATGGATGACGCTGGCTTCCCAACACGACAAGCACCACGTCCGCCTTTGTTTCGCATCTTTAGCTCAGGGGCCAAAAAGACGTTTTCTTCTATGAACGCCTCGGTTAACACAGCGTGACCGGCGGATGTTGAGTTTCGCCTTGGGTTGCCGGTGCGTAAGGAAAGGGACGGGGCGGGGAACATGTCCAAAACATGCGTAACGTAAATTATGGGCTGCTCCGTGCTCCAAGAGCTCACGTAAAACTCTGTATGACATGATAGGGATAGAATACCAAGGCAGGACAGGGGATGTGCTAGTAACGATCGATCGCCACTCAATGTCGCAGATTCAGATGGCGTTTTGAGGTGAAAAAGCTTCCAAGATATAAAGAAAGTGGCTTGAGCCAAAAACGCCTTTAAACATGAAAACAAGCCCAGCAATTCAAGGCCGGTTTGTAAAGGCATGCATTCATTTGCATTAGATTGTGTGAATGTCTTTGACCATGGAATGCAGCGGCAGACATGTCCCCCAAGGCCAGGTGCTACGGGTCTATTTTGGTTCCCAAGGATTTGATTCTCCAATGTCAAGTTTGGTGAAACTTGGAGTACCGTCTTGTGCGACTCCTGTACGATATCCAGCCATGGTGGAATAGATGATCAGTTGATAACGGAGATGTTATGTCATCGTGTACACACCTTTTGGGAAAGGCAAAGAAAAAGGTACCTTGAAAAAAGGCAAAGGAAATGCAAAGGAAAGGCATCTTGATGCCAGTAACGGAGATCTAACCGCAAATATGCAATGGCGACCTAAGAGAATGTTTGGCTGTAGCTATGCGCGTCATTCCGGAAACGTTCTATGGCAGTATGCAAGCACATTAGGATGTGTTTAAGTTTGAACCAAATATCCGTCTTAAAGGCAGCCGTCTTTGGCACTTGAATTTCCGAGAAGCAAAATCGCAAAGGATAGATATACGCACATTCACCTGCAGTGGTTGACGGTTTGTCTCAAGCTAGCAAAAAATGTTACCAGGGAGGGATGCATATGATGGTACTCAAAACTTACCAAAAGCCAATGCATTATGTCTGTTTGTGTGTGTTGCACATATGTGGGAGCGGGGACAATACGCCAAGGCCCCATGGGCCAGTGCTTCCTCCCTCCATGCGTGTCGGATAGATGGGCGCGGGAGGTGGTGTTCATGGGTGGAGGTGTTCATGGGTGGGGAGGACTGAGGCCTCTTACTTTGTAATGATTTACTCTCGGGCATATGGGCATTGACTGGAAAGAAATAGCAGCTGTCATGGCTTCTTTAGAGTAGGTTAAAAGATAAAGAGCTTAAGGATAAACCTACCAGCAACTGAGATAAGTCTTTAATAAGGGTGCCGAAACACAAATGCAAACTCCTCTGTGTTTTTCCGAAGCTCCAAAATAATTCCAACTCGGTCGTTCAAATTACTCCGTTCGTGTCGGCAAAGCCTTGATATGGGACAAACACACATGCAGCGTCATTCGTCAATGCCACATATGCTGATCAAAATAGCCAGAATGCGGCGCCGTATTCTGCGCGAAACTAGGTAGCTGGTGGTAGAGCCGTTGGTGACTGGCGTTTTCTCGTATTAAATACTTCATGTCTATTTGTGAAGGTTGCACCATCACACAGCTGAGGCAACTGCAGAAGCACATAAACTTGGGTGCCCGCATCGTCACGGACCGCGGATGCCGCAGTGCCCGGTGCACCGCCCAAACTCAGATGGCGCCGAGTGCAAGAACCGCTGGTAGAGCGTAGCCTTAAAACCATGCCCAAAATGCTTCTTGTTGACAGTGCCCCCGAGCTGCTCCGTGAACTCATTGGTAGCTGCTCTCATGCACCCTGCCGTTTTTCAAGCGCAATTCAAAACGGCTGGCTCTACGTTCCACGCGTGCGGACTGAGAGCTATATCTCAAACCAAAAATTATCTCCATTCTCCTGGTTTTTCTCCCAGGAATAAGGCTATTGCTACTGTCTTATCTATATGATCAATGACAAACTTATGATCATGCTCGCTGGCAAGCTTATGATCGATCATAAGCATGACTGCAACCAAAAATGTATCGGCGCCCAGAACCTCCGTGAACTTCCACTGCCCTCACCCAGGTATTAACAAACCATGTTTGCAACTGATTGGAGCTAATTGTATGGATTAACGTCACGGCAAAGCCCAAGATGAGCTCCGCCTGCGTCCAGAACAAGGAAAGTGTTGGATCAGGTCGACTGCCAGATATCCGTGGGTCGACGAATCAGGTGTCACACATTTCGAGTCAGGATTGTTTCTCTTGACCTCCTAAATTAAACCTGAGCTAAAAAAAAACACGTTTCAAAACCAGCTGCAGCTGGTCACCACAGCCGCGGTTGGCTGCCTGCGAGAGCCGCAATGATAGCAGCAGAAAGTGCGGCAAACGTATTCAAAAGGTCGCCTTTTTGCGTCTTCTGTACCGAAATGTTGGCATGCTTACACAAAACCGATCAGGCGTGTGCCTTTTAGTTTTTGACAATCACAGCCTTCCTCTAGCATTTTACACCAATCACGGATCACACGCAATAGAACAAATGCAGCTTTGTTGTTGTTTTGAACATCTCGGAGCACTATTATCATGACGAAAATGACGCTTTAATTTCATTTGTCAAGTTGCACAGCGCGTGGCAGGGAATCGTGCGTTTCGTGTGACATGCGGGTAGAATTGCGGGGCACGCGTACATGCTGGAGGTGATGTGTCGGGGTACTGTAGAGCGCTAGAACCACGGTGCCGGGCGGCACTTCATTTGGGCGGGGTCAGTGTGTGTCTGTTTTTTGTGGAGCGCTTGAATTATATCGTGTGTGTGTTCTGCATGCCAAAGATGTGTGATATTCGTATGATGCTCTGTCAATAAGGTGAAGACAATGATTCTTCATGGTGCTGGTGTTCAATTTAACTAAGGCCAGATGTAGAAATGCTGGTGAAGATATACAGACCAAGGAAATATTAGATGTTAGCATATGTGGTATAAGAAAGGATGTGCACAGGCCAGTTCACTGAAAATCCAACTACTGTGCTGGATGTACATTGACATGGGTGCGCAGAATGCTGAATCTCAAAGCTTTTTTATGTGAGAAATGTTTTAGAATGCTCCAGGCTGAACATGCTTTTGCAACAGCATAATTCCGTGAAGAATCATCGCAGTGTGCTGGAAGTAATGGCTCTTATGTATCAAACTGAACAGATTTAGTTTCTCTGGATATGCTGAAATTTTACCTGCACTGTCACTGCTATACTGGATATGCTTTGCACAACATGTGTTTTCATGATCTGGTTCACAGATGGCTTCTAAGTCTAGTTAAAGATACTTATGAGCTCAGAGCTCTAATGCTGAGTTACAACATTCAATATTCCAGGTGGTACTGGGAAAACAATATTATAGGATATACCTACAATGTATTGGTGATGCTTAATTTTTGAAGCAGTGATCATGATCACAAATGAAATTGATTATCAACACAGGTTAACATATTGAGCTTTGTTAATGTGATGTGTTTGCTATTTAATGTTGTATAACCAGTTCTTCCTAGTATGTTAGGGGGTGATGACTCAGCATACAAATTATGAGGTTATAATGCTAAAAAAGTAGGAGTTTAAAGCCTTTATTACCTATGTTGAGTGAAAAACACTAGCAAAAGTATTTTCAGGTGAAGCCTTCAGGGAAGGCTCATCTGATTTGATCTGATCTGATCTGATCTGATCATTTTTGCAGAGCATGTTGCCAGTTTGCATTTACTGTAAAATTGTCAATGAATGTGGCTCCAACAATAGTGAAAGTTGGAATTAAATGCAATTTCAGATGCTTTAGAATGTCTGAATAACTTTTAAGTGGAATATTTTTTGGATATCCTGTAAAGGGGAACATGTCAACAAGCTCTCAAAAACCAACATATTGTTTAGACTTTGGCCTCCAAGCCAGCATTAGCCCCTTCCTCATCCCACCAGCCAGCATTGCGGATTTGCCTTTGTGTAAAGAAGACATCAATCTCCATCCACACTTGTATCCTTCATGTAGGAATGCAAACAATTCAGATCCTGGTTGCTAGTGTTGCCTGCTACATCATTTGACTTAAGTTTGGATGTGTTGCATATGGGTTGATTTTCATGCTCTACCCCTTATTATTACCCTTTCACAACCTTTTTGAGAGGATGTTATACCCTTCTGTGACTCATTACCTCCTGATTTTCAGGTGCACAGATATGGAATCAAAGCGGATATATGTTGGAGGTCTTTACCATGAAGTGACAGAAAAGGATCTGAACCAGCTCTTTTCAAAATTTGGAAATGTTGAGAGTGTGGAAATAAAGCAGCGTGCTGAGAGCAATGTTGTCAATTATGTATTTGCATATGTTAATGTCAAAACTACAAGCTCAGATGTTACAAAATGTAAGTATTGCATGGAGTAATACCATAGTCAGTCATGATGCCAGGATGGGTTTTGTAGCCTCTAGTTTGTAGCTCTAAGCCTAGAGAGGTTTGTTTATATGTATATATATATATATATATATATATATATATATATATATATATATATATATATAACATACACCTTGCAACATTAGCACTGACTCAAGTTTAAGATGTATATTATAGACAACTGTGGAAACACATGACATTGGCATTGTGTCTGATTGGCAGGATGTGTGATAACTGTGTTCTAAATGGTGTGACTTCATGAAAATATTTTCCTCATCATTCCTGTGATTAATGTTCCAGGCTTCAAAAGACTAAATGGCACATTTTGGAAGGGCAAGCGTCTGAAACTGGAGCTGGCCAAGGAGTCCTTCCTCTCCAAACTGCAAAAGGAGCGCGAGCAGAATGCACCAAGGCACAATGGTGCTGCAACCAGCCGGCCCACGCCCCCAGCCCCGCCGAAACGGAAGTCCCTGCAAGAGAGCATCATCGATGACGTGTTAGCCACCAAGCGGCAACAGAGCGGCGGCGCGCCCGCTGCGCGGCGCATAGTCGACTTCTGCTCTCCTGAGGATGGCGCCACTGGCGCCGATGGCCAGCAGCGGCCGTCGCCGGGCGCAGGCGAGCGTTCCCTGGGAGAAGCGGCACGGAGCGCGGCCCGGCCGGCGCCGGCGGAGGGCCGCGCGCCCAGCCGGCCGACGCCGGCGGCGGCGGACGAGCCGGCGCCGGCAGACGAGCCGGCGCCGGCAGACGAGCCGGTGCCGGCGCGTGGCGCGCTGCGTATGTTCGGTGGCATCGGCGCTGTGGCCGCGTCGTCGCCTGAGGGCGCCGCGGGACGCCGGACGACGCACGCCGACAGAGTGTCTGCGTCGGAGCAGGAGGAGACGGAGGTGGCGACTCCGGCGGCGGCTCGAGCGGCGGCCGACGGTGACTTCCTGTCGCGGCTGGAGGCGTTCAGCGCCGTGTGGGGCGACGGCGACGGCGCCGCCCACGAGCCGTTCGTGGCCGGCCGCCGGCCGCCGGACAAGCCCAGGCGGCCGGACACCCAGTCCACGCCCCAGTCTGAGGCGTCCGATCAGGCCAGACGCGCGCTGGCCCCAGCCGCTGGCGAGGCGCGGCGGCGGGAAGGCCGGCTGACCCCGGCGGCGGCGGCGGCCGAACCTAGCGAGCCTGCCCAGCCGCCGCGCGGCGCGGGCGCCACCTCCGCCCGGGACGACAATCAGAAGCGTATAGAGGCGCTGAGGCAGCGGCAGGAGACGTTCAAGAGCCAGAAGCGCGCGCTGCAGCAGGCACTCTCCTCTAAGGTGGGCTGATGGCCTGGGTGGTCTAAGATAGTGGTAAGTGTGATTCTTGCTCGAGAAGTGCCGTAAAGTGATGTGTCTTCGTACTGTATCATTTAATATAGTCCATTGAGATCTGGCAAAACTCTGAAATGCACGGCTCTGCTATTATATGTCTTGTATGATTCTGTGATGTTAACCGTCTGATGCTACTGGTCGTAATAGCTCTTATATTATGGCATGGTCCATTCATTATCATAGCATATGGTCTCTCTAACATGATTTTGTCTGGTCCTGTTGGATAAGACATTGGTATGAGATTTCACTGTGCTGTTGAGTTTCCACTTGAGGGAAGTGGACATGCAAGTGGTGACGTGCACACATATTGGCGACAGGCTGGTCTGCGTGCAGTGTCGATGTGTATTGATGCTCTGGTGACCCGACCACTTGTAATGTAGCTCCAGCATCTAGCGACCTGCCCGTGCCCCCGGGCGATCCCATCCCTTGATGAGCTGACCCCTCCCCTCCCTCTCTAGCAGTCTGAACCGGCTTCCTGGTGACCTGTACTCGCCTAGGATAATTTGGTGCCATGTGACCTGACCGAGACCGAGCGCCAAGACAACGTTATGTGACCTCACCCATATTGGTGTGACCTCATCTGCCCACTGTGATCTCACCCATACTGATATGACCTCATCCACCCAGTGTGACCTCACTCCCACTGTTGTGACCTCACCCACACTGATGTGACCTCATCCACTCAGTGTGGCCTCACCCACACTGTTGTGACCTTATCCACCCAGTATGACCTCACCCACACTGCTGTGACCTCATCCACCCAGTGTGGCCTCAACCGCACTAGTGTGACCTGGCTCTGCCCCCTTCCACAGGCAGATGCGCCACCACCCAACAAGCGGATCGTTTTCGATGACGCGGACGACGAGCCCGGCGTCGATGACCCCCACCCTGACCCCGTGACCCCGGCCACGAACGGGCGCGGCCTGTTCGACGACGAGGACGACGGCGACCCCCCGGACGGGGACGACTTCCGAATACGGCCGCAGTACGAGGGCGCCAGGGGTCAGAAGGTCAGTGGGCGAGCCCGGCCACGCGGTTCTGGTTTATTCTTGTGTGGCGCGGTATGTCACTGATGTGTGCTACTCCGATTGATTGTTCTTGTTCTGATGTTGTAGCTGCCATTTCATACGCCTACAATGTAAGTTTGATGTCTGTCTGCTGTGTTCTGCTTCCTGCGTTCACTTATCCGCCACCTGATTTCTTGCTAGCACAGCTCCACAGTATGATTGGAACATTTCACTCAAGATCGCTCGACTAAACGCCCGCCGCTCCGTGCTCGGTCACTTCTTCGACCAGTGTGTTTGGGTCCTGTGTTCTGCATGTCCGTAGCTTCGGTGACATCCCTCCATCCGTGAGTGTAGTTCCCCTTCAGCGTTGGATGAATTCCGCGTGTTTGCAAACTCGCATTACGTGACGCGTTTTCGCGTGATGAAGATGATCCCATAGAGCACATCTGGGCAGTCTCATGTCCCTAGATAGAGCTACGCTGTCTGCGCCACGCACGTCTGTGTGCTCCTCTTTGAGCATTATCTCTACACTGGCGTCGTCTCCCCATACCTCACGTAGTCTTTCCGCCTCTCGTGCTCTCTTCCTTGCCTTCATGCCAATATATATATATATATATATATATATATATATATATATATATATATATATATATACACGTATTGCATCGTTCCTGCGTCCCTCACGGCAACTGCTCATCCCGATCGGTACGTGGTCTCTCTCCACCCTCACGCCGTCGCCTGCCTTCCCTCACGCCATCACGCCGTCTCCCGTCCCTCACGCCATCCCCTTGTGACGGCAGCTGCAGGCGCTGCAGTCCCGATTCGGCGCCGACGAGCGCTTCGTCTTGGACGAGCGCTTCGGGGGAGAGCAAGGGGCCGAGGACGAGCCGGTAGACGAGGACGAGCCGGCGGACGAGGATGGCGTGCGGCGCGAGCACGAGCAGCAGATGGACATCCTGCAGCAGGTGCTCGGCACGGACGCACGCCCGGACAGTGCCGCCAAGAAGCGGAAAGACGCACGGTGCGTGACTGACCGGGGGAGGGGGATCGGGAAAGGCCAACTTGGGGGGGGGGGGGGCAAATCAAGGCTGACAGGGACTGTATCAAGGCCGGCTGGTTGCAGGTCAGGGCCGACTTGAAGGGCCAAGTCGGGGCTGACTGGAGGGGACAGGTCAAGGCCAACCAGAGGGGCATGTCAAGGCTGACTTGGGAAGCAGGTCAAGGCTGACTTGGGAAGCAGGTCAAGGCTGACTTGGGGAGCAGGTCAAGGCCGACTGATAGGCAAGGTGAAGGCCGACTGGTGGGCCAGGTCCAGGCTGGCAGGGGGGGGGGGAGTGAAAACAGGCTGACTGAGGGGTGGCAAGCGCGGGCCAGATGTGGGGGAGGCTGGTATAAAGATACTTTGTGGCGACTCATGGTGTTACTTTGCGGAGAAGTGTGGCTCTGGAGGTATTCAAAGTATTTGTGTTTGTGTATGCAGTTGTGGAGCATTTATCCACAATGTCAGTGCCCACCTTAGTCACAGTGGTCCTTGGGGCCCAGTCAGATGCCCTTGTGATGTCAGCCATGGCATACAGTATGCAAAATCACTGGCTGAAACCGGCCATCCGTCATTTTTGCTGATTGCAGTGTTTGATACTAAGACCAACGGGCTCTCCGTTGCCCGTCGCCTCGTAAGTTATTCAGAGCACCGCGCTTTACTACTTGGACGCTCATAATACTTTGATCTAATGTTACGCTATCCAACCCTCCTATGCCTTGTTATTCCTTGGGTAAGCTCCATAACCTCTGTGTGACCTTTGGCCCCAGAGTGTTATGGCCGTGACCTGCGGTGACCTCAGCGCGCCCCTGCCTGCCCACAGCGCCCCCGGTCCCGTGCGGTTTGACCCCTCGCTGGAGGAGCACGCGCGCTACCAGCTGGAGGCCAAGGCGTCGGGGCGACGGCGGGAGCCCGCCGAGCCGACCTCGGCCGTGACCCCGACGGCGCCGGCGGCGACTCAACCTCAGGTCACGGGCGAGAAGTTCTACGAGGTGGCTCCGGCGCTGGGCGACCTGTTCGGCCGCGGCCGGCAGGGCGGCGCGCCCGGCTTCAGCCTGCTGCAGATGCTCGGAAGGGACGATGGACGCGGTGAGCGGCGGTGACGTCATCACATGATGTGTGACGTCATTGGGGCTGGGCCTCGGCGCTGGCGGAGGGAAAATGGCTGCGACGTTCTGAAGTATTGCCAATTGACTGATCTTCGCTACCAGGCCATGCAGTTCTCATTCCCAAAATCCTGACTAGTCGGTAAATTAGACGTCGTATTAGATATCGGTGGCGGAATGTATGGGATCCACCTTTGGTGAATGCCCAGAATGAAATAATCCGGCAGCAAGTTGTGTGATCATGCAGTGAGCCTGAGTTGATGGGCTCTAAAACCTGTCAACAAGGTCCTTAAAATTATTTTATGCGTCTTGAAATTGTAGATTATGACAATCCTCACAAAATTACAGACGAGCCCGTGGACGAGGAGGCCGAGTACAAAACGTCGAAGATCAAGAACAAGACAAAGATGCCGCCCACGGATGGCGCGGCCACCAACCCGTTCCAGTACGACTCGAGCAGTTCCGAGGAAGAGGCAGAAGGTGGCGCGATCACAGGGTCGCTAGGGGGCACTGGCGGCGGCTGGAGCCAGACCCGGAAGTTCTTCTTGCAGCCGGACGACGCGCGTCTCACGGGTACTTACAGTCCTGTTCATGCTTTCTACAGCGTCTGCACTGATTGAGATAGATTTTGGAATGGCTTTCCCCACTCCTTCTTTGTGGCTGGCTGCAGTTTGGAGGTATTTAGTGTGGGCATTAGGGCATAATCATATTTTTCATGTAGTATGAAGTGGTCAAGACTCAAGGACCTCTGGTAAAGGCTATGAGTTTGCACTTTTGTTCGGAGACTCTGGTTGTCCATTGAATTAAAGACTTCACGAAACGAGGGGGAGCACGGAGAGGGTTAGTTCGGGTCATGCAGACGATGCCTGGGAAGAGGTAAAGGTAAGCGTCGCATTCAGCCTGACCGGGTACAGACCGGCACCTCTGGTAACTTTGCCGGACCTCCCCCGTCCCCTCGCACACGCTTTGAAGCCATCGGCTCGCGAAAGGCTGATGCTTCGCACCGAGTATGGATGTGTATGGGCCATTAAATGCTCAAGCCATTGCCTGCAGTCTCATAAATCTCCTGATGTGGTATGTGACAGGGCATTGTCAGTATGCCCTTGTGACAGATAGACCAAAGTCGGTATGGGAGAAGAAGGTTCTCACGCGAACACAGACTGACATGTCACATCGGGTCACCGATGTGAACCACTCGTGCAGTCTCTATGAAGAGTCAGTCATATCTTGCATGTTACTTCATCCAAACATTATCTCCCCATTTTCTTCTGAATTGGTGCCTTTTGGTGGAAAAGGTGCCTTTTGCTACGAGCGTGAAGTCGTGTGATAACTGTTAAGCACAAGTGCCTGGGGGCTTGCCTCGCTAAGCCACCGAGCTGTGTCTGAAAATGCACGAAAATGCCCGTCGCCTTCCATGTACGGGTTATTTTTGTTTTTATGCATGCCTTCGACATCATTCATCAGATCGCGTGACCGGCTTGACCCCTGGCTCTCAGGATGCCTGACGGGAACCGGGTGTGATGTGCTGACTACCCGGGGCGTATGCGGGTCCTGGGAGGCAACTTTCATGTGTAAGCCAGTGTTTCGCACAGCCGCATGAGGCGAATCATGCACAACGTGAACGGAAATCGGTCGGTGACCGCTCGCCCCTTCCCCTTCTTCCCTTCCCTTTATTCATGCCTTGAGGGGGTTGTCGTAAAAGCCTGAAGAAGTTCATGCCATCCGATTCAAGAAGCAATGTTAAACCCATAGGGGTAGTGTTAATTGGAACCTTAGATAAGCACTGTCATAGCGTTTACCGATTTTAGGCCATATAGTTTTGTGTCGGGGCTGTTGAGGCAAAGCAGAAAGATAAGTGATCCAGAGGGATCATCTCATGATGCATTCTTCTATAATCAGGTTACGGCCTATTTCCGAAGGCGAATTCAACGATTTCCACATTTCAAATCCTGCTCTGCAGCTTTCCATCTCGGTTGGAGTGTTGTTTCGCATTCCAAAGGCTTCAAAAGCCGCAATGTTGCCACTGCAAATGCCAGATCTCTGCAACTTCGCCGCTGCCAGCTGTCAGCGGTGCTGCCAGCAGTGTTGCTGTGCTGTCACACTCCGCGGTGACCCTAAAACCCACATCCCGCGAGGCGCTGGGTGTTCTGCGTTGCCGCACCAGCGGGCTTGGCCGCGCCCCTGCAACGCATCGTTTGATGTGTATTCTGAACTCCATACGTATGATTTCTCTATTATTTGTCAACGGAAGAGGCTCCACTAATACATGCGATCGTCACTGTCGCCCAACTTCTTCGCTGCAACGAATGAATTAACTAGAGCTAACTAAGTGCCACCGGCCGCTGGCAACACGCAGTACGTGCGCGCCTCGTCGTTTACCGTCGTTTTACTTGCTGGTGGCGACTGAGCGATCGCCGCTGAGCGTCAGCCGGCGGCATTTGGCCGACGCGGAAATGCAGAGTTGCCACCCTTTAGGTCAGAAGGATGCTTTTGACGGACAGTGAAGATTGTGATGTGTAAATGGGTGGTAGATACGGGCTCACGTGGTGATGTAAATCTTGCCACGACCCTGGCTGCAGTTTCGACGGCAGCTTGTGTTCGGCACCGTTTTTTCAAAGTGCGGACGTTCGCGGCTTGTCCGACGATGACTGGCATAACCGAGCGTCGCGCAGATCCGTGTTGGCGACGCTAACGCAGACGATACTTGCGTGGACCGACGCCTTGAGATAGGATTCGCGCCTCTACCCGCTCGGGCTGCCGACATATGTTATAGAACGTGAAAAACGTAAAGCCTGTCAAATGCAACGTGGCTGCCGCCCGCCTTTACTTTGGCTACCCCTGAACTATGCTCTGACATCTCCCAGCCTTGACCTCCCCAAACACCTGTCCCCCTGGCGCCTCCCTGGTTATGAGTCTAACCTTTGACTCTTCCGCAAACTCTTCTCTGGAGGCTGTCGACCCTCACGGACCTCTCCCCGACCCTGATGTTTTCCCTGATCTGGCCCTGAACTGTACCCAGACGCTTTTGTAACCTCTTCCTTGACTCGTTCCCTCCCGTAACCTATTTCTAAACCCTCACTCATGATTTGCCACCGGACGTCTCCTCTAACTGCGTTATTCTTACCACTGGCATGTTCACACAACGCTGTTCTGATCTTTCAACAACATCCGCCTCCGTATGACCTTTCCTGACCTAGCCTTTTCTTGCGGCGTATGAATGTTAACTTTTCCACTAGCCGGGGGTCTCTTCTTAACCTGGGCCTTTCCACCGGCCTCCCCTTCTTTCGTGATTTTTTGTGACCTTTTCTCGACCCAGATGTCCCTGCCCATGGTGACCTCTCCTCCGACAATCTCCTCTGCCCCGGCCTCCCTCCTCACTGTGACCTCCCATTACCCAGACCTTTTGGCCAGCCTCGGTTACCGATTAACCTCTTAACCGCAGTCAGACCCCTACCAACCCTGACCTCTTCCCCGACCCCGAGCTCTTCCCAGATCGTGACCTCTCCACGACTGTGACCCTGCCGCTCACCTGTGCTCTGTCCGCCGTTGCAGAGGGCGCCGAGTTCGTCCGCGGCGCGTCGTCTGCTGAGGAGCTGCAGAAGCTCGCCGAGCAGCGGCGACCGGAGCTGCTCGAGCTGTTCCGCGCGCAGAAGCACAGTCGGGCGCGAGTAATGCGCCGCAGCCGCGGGCGCGGGCGCGGGCGCGGCCGACACCCCCACGGCCGGTGACGGCTGACCCCGGCGGACGTGGGGGCTGAGGGGAGGCGACTTTGTACGGAGGGATGCTGGGAGAGGGGTGGGGTGGCCGCGGCGCTGGGTGTCGTGCGTACTCTGGAGGCATGCTGACGAGTGGTGGGGTTGTTTTCAGAGACATTGTGTAAGGAGGGTGCGCTATGGAGTGAGGAAGGTATACGTCTGGTCAAGTTGTTCTCGTTTTGGCGTTTTAGCGTCTCGTTTGTCCGGGTCTTTGGTGATCGAGTGAATACACATCGCTAAGAAGTGCCTCACCTGCGTGTTGATGCCTGCTTCAGGCAGAAATGAGCTCACGATGGTACAAGAGAACAATTACATTCGGACGTGTGCCCTGATACAACGTCTTATCCGTCATGTGATCCGATACGCATGAATGTCGGAATAAATGTGAAATGCGTATTTCATCCCGTGCGCTACGTAGAATGAGTTTTCAAGGCGGTCGTGCCGTGCCAAAATGAGTGAAATGAGTGTTGAATGCCGAGTGAGTACAAGGCAGTGTGAGCCGGCCCATTCCCAAAGCAAACCGCGCAGGAATTCGAGGTTGGGAAGCTCTGTGTTAGCACACTGCCACTGGAACATCGGTGAGATAACTACTGACAGACTGTGCACGTAACGCCCAATCAAAGATAAGGCTTCCTTTTTAGCTTTGGGTGCGGGAGCTCTAGCCCCCACCGCATCCCCTCCCATGAATCTGTAAATAAAACTAATCAAAATCGTGCAAAACCGATCTCTTGCATATTTTGCTGGCACATTTTCGCCATTTTCCCTGCTCAGCCCCACAGCATTAAACGAAAGCCTTGCTCCCATTTTGCAAAATTCGGGGGTCATGCCCCTTCTTGCTGTTGACTCGCATTGTTGTACTTCGTCTCTGCTGACAGCGCATTGCTTGCAGTTTCCATACGCGGGCATCACACAAATTCGACATCCGAAGGGCCGGTCGGATCAAACTTGGCGCTCTAAGAGACACACTAGCTAGTTTGACACGAAAAAATGACGTGTTTTAAAAGTGGACTTGTTACTTACGCCAGGAGCAAGGGGACCATGAGCTCTAAAGCTACCCTACGGCTGCTGCGCGGTTTGCATTCGCTCGTCACGTGGCAGCAAATACCACGCTTAAAAATTTAGCTACCGATTCTTACCCTTCGGTTTGCCACTTATGGCGCAGTTGAGACATTTCTGGGCTCAGGGTTCTGATCGCCCCGAGAGATTGCCGATTACAACGTGGTTGTGCGGGATAGGTGGAGACTGGGTTGGTGAGGAACCTCGAAGTTGAATACAAGACGTGTCGAAGATAATTTTTTTTGGAGTACCTCCACGGCACTCTTTGCACATATACAGTCAGCCAGGATCAGGTCAGGAGCATCCTCAAAATGGCAGGATAATTCGATAAGTTGCAGCAAACTTGTCCTGATTGTTAAGCTTTTTGGTTGGATTAAAATATTTTTACTTTGTTTTGCACTTCAAATACCATTTTTGCTGCCATTTTTGTGCTTTTATAGTTACATAAAAGACACCCAGAAAGAAGCGTAACAAAAACCAACTTAACACGAGCTTGGCTGGGGGGTCAAATTGATCCCCTCCAAAGATTTCCTTACAATTGTTTCTGAACGGCGCGACGTAGTCGCCACAAATTTGGGCATAGCTTTAGGCAATTGAATAGCAGGTTGTTTGGCATAAAACATTTAGGTGTGCCTTGTAAGGCTGCTGATGTATGGCAGGTCAAAGTCAGGCCACAGCTTCAGCAAAGGTAATTGCTAGGGAGTTGTTCAATCTGATGCAATGACAGACTGTTAGACAAAGCCATACATCTCTGAGATGCTTTTTTAGGCAACATAAACACTGAATGAGCAAATTACATTGACCTAAGGTCAGGTATGATGATTAGACCAGGGTCAAAGTCAACCTGTTTTATTACTGCTAGAACTTGCTGTAAGTGATAGTTTCTGGTGCTCATTTTGAATTTATTAATAGCAGGGACCACATAATGCATCTTCCATGGACTTCTTAGAGGTCAGAATGGGCCATTGACCTAAGATGACCCAGGTCAGCATTTTGTTTTTAGGAACATACTGCCTAGCATAACCTTCATTGTTTATTCAAATGCAAAACTCAGAGCAGTCTTGTATGATTTTGGTCACCATGACCTTCAAAAGGTCAAACAAGGGCACTGAGCTTAAATGAGCTTGACTTTGTGTTTAAAAACAGTTATCTAGGCTCTGCGGGCACTTCGGAGACCAACCTGGAATTCAGAAAAGATGCATACCAAGTAACTGGCTGTTCCATAAAAAATGTAATGGTGGGATTGGAAAGCACCTTAATTTTGTCTCTGTAATTACTTCATCTTAATATTGGTGCCATAATTACTTCTATGTGAAATTGTTAAGTGCATTAACAGACAAGCATTTGTATGGTACCTATCATTTAAATGCAATAATTTTTAGTCCCCATCCAGTTTATATCCAACTTAATGGTTTTTTCTCTCAGTTGAAATATGTTAGTTATGGGCCCAAATGGACTCTGCCACTGGCACACCCTGAAACTCAAATCATCATCATCCATGAGTTCACAAGTCAGTGCTTATTGCCATCATTGCCTTAATTTTATTTATGTCCAGACCTCAAGAGCAAGTGTATGTTCAAGGGTATTCTGCAGTGCAGCCACTAAGAGCTGGTTGAGTCTGTTGTGCATGATTCATGTATCTGTGAGCTTATTACTACAGCATCCATTTAGTAAATCCCTTACAACCAGGAACCAAAAGTTGTTTTGAAAAGTTGAGCTAGCTACCATAAGACCTCATGTGCCATTGTCCAACCAATAAGTATATCTGTGACACCAGTTGCTTTGGGTTGTATTTGGTTAGAGTGCCTATATTCCAATCCACCCACCCCTGGCGGGTTGGTTCGGGTCGCTTTAGGCGCTCCCTGTTTACCCTTCGCAGATATGGCCTGCGGCCAGTGGCAGCGGTCACGCTAAAGGTCAGGTTACATCAGGGGGCAGGACGGACCGTGCCGAGCATTGCGGCGCGTCGAGCTTTCGCCAACAGATTCTGCCGTTGCCTGGAACTGCGCAACCGGATGATGGGGGGTCAGGGCTCACACAATAAGCACTGCTTAGCGTGAGCGCTGATCCCAGAAATCCATCCATTCAAAGAGTTCGGATCAAATTTAGTAGGAAAAAAATACACCACTTTGTGGGGCCTTAGTGGAAAACAGCTAGGTTGCAACCTCATTACCCCGGCCATTCAGACATCACAGCCGGTAACCCTGTCCTCGTCTGCAGCAGATCACCATGAGTCTGGTGCCCTGGGCGCTGGCCCTGCTGCGGGGGCCGAGCCGACGTCTGCCCACGCTCGTCTCGGCCCGCGGCGAGGCCTCCTCAGCGGCCCGGGCACCGCCGACCGCCGCCGCCGGCGAGGCCGCCCCCCAGCCCGCCGCCGCCGCCGGCCACACGGCTCCGTCGCCCGACGCGCCCCTCCCAGACATGGAGAACCCGTACCAGACGGAACGGCGGCAGTGCATAGCGTGCCGCCACCAGCTGCGCTTCGACTACAAGAACGCCAAGCTGCTGAGCCAGTTCGTGTCGCCGTTCACCGGCCGCATGTACGGCCGTCACGTGACCGGCCTGTGCGCCGAGCAGCACCGCCGCCTCGACAGCGAGTACAAGAAGGCCGTCGTCTGCGGCTACATGGGACTGAAGATCAAGCAGGTGGAGTTCCTCCGGGACCCGAGGATCTGCGACCTGACCAAGCCTGTGCGGCCGCACAGGTTTTAGCGGGTACCAGTGGGTGTTAGATGACTTGGAGTGCTTGGATCACGTGTCGCTGCGTCTGTGTTTGGCGTGCGGGGTGTCAGAAGGGGCGCGAGTCCTGCAGAAAATGTGGCCCGTCCATAGTGAACGGTCCAGCGAATGAGAAGTGTCGATACAGTCCATCGCGAGCGACCGTCTGTCGGTACTAGGCGCACCGGCTCGGCCAAATATATTCTCGCATGTCCCATCGCAGCATTGAGGACCATGTCCGCGCCCTGGGCTCACTCCTGTGGCCTCTTCGGACTCACTTGGCCGGCCGTGTCCTCCCAGAACGTCTTCGGCCCGTCCGACCATGTCAGCATCGAGAGCAACACCTCAACCGAGCCAATCGCATCCTCTGTATTCCTTCCGACCGGCGTCGCCTGAGGCCCCTGACGCGCGCGGATGATGACGTCACTGAGGCGGCAACAGCTGGCGTCACGGCGGTGGAGAGGGGCGCACGGGGCCCAGCTCCGGACGCCTGGGCTGGCCGGCCCCGCAGCGGACCAGACCGGACCGCGGCAGGGGGGGGGGGGGGGGCGACGGCCCGGCTGGAGAGGGCCCGACGGCGGAGGTCCGGAGAGCGACGGCAGCGGAGTGGCGCAGGCGGCATATATGGCGGACGGCCTGGGAGGCTGAGGGTCCTGCTGTGGCATGATCCGACCCGTGGCGGTGGGGGATCCGCCCACGGCTGAACAGAGCAGACAGTGCATAGTCCTCGACTGAGGTCGCTGGTAGAGTAACCACGCTTGGCACGATGTATGCAACATCTGGTTAGCCGCTTAACAACACGACAAAACACATGGAATGACGTCACACACACGACAGAGCACATGGAATGACGTCACACACAGCATACGCCGTTAAGCGGAGCGAGGGCGGGTAACGCCCCTTGACGGAGATAGAAAAATGTCAAATGCCATGCGAACAACGCGTAACGCACAAGGCATCTCCACAGAACAGTGCGTCAAGGAGCGGGAGCGAGTCTGACAACTCTGATGCCGATGGTGTAGTTGTTACCGCGTCTACGTTAGCCACTACATGTCTGGGACACCAGAGGTACGGGGTTCGATTCCCCGCGGTACCCGCCCTTTCTGCCGGAGTGAGGGGCAGGCGACACCAGATAGTCCTCGACAGCTGAGCATGTCGTAAGGCCCCAATGACACGAGTGCCAAGTCAGGTGTGCACAGGTACTGCCATCTTGCGATGTGCAAGGGAACTAAAAAAAACTGCTCAGCCGCCAGTCCAAGGCTCATCAAAGGCATGCACTGGTACCGGCCGGCTCTCCTCGACATCCCGCAGGAAATATCGTCCACGTTCGCCGCCGCGCCGACCCCTGTAAGGTTGGAGTGTTGCCATTAAAATCTTGGCGATCCAGGAGCTTGTTGATTGTGATGCTCAACACACACCCGAGGGCGGGACCGAGAGCCGCCGGAGCTCGAGCGCGGCCATGCTCCGCGCTGTAGCGCGCGGGCTCGCGGCAGGCGCCACCTATCGGTCCACTGTCCCACTCAGGTCCGGCTGGGGCACCCGGCGCAGGCTCTCTCGCAGCGCGTCGTCCTCTGCAACAGAGCCGAGCTACACATCACTGGGACACATACAGTAACGTCACTGGGGCAAACAATGACGTCACTGGGACACGGTACAGTGGCGTCACTGGGGCACATACAGTGATGTCACTGGGGCATATACAGTGACCGTCACTAGAACACGGACAATGACGTCGCTGGGACACGGAGGATCACGGCAGTGGAACAGCAGCGCGACCGAATGGGCGGAGCGGCCAGCAAGCCAAGTTAATGTAGACAACAGAAGCTGCATGTGACGAGAAAACACAGTATGAAATGTTCATAAGCCAACAAGAAATACCTGAAATGGATAGTTGTTTCTGGCATGTTTTAGATCGGTGAAGGGGAAGTGACACACTGTTTGGGGGACAGACGATAATGTAGCGGGACAACCTCTGGCTTGGCACGCAGCCAACCAGCAGGCGGACCAATACGCTGATGCATTGAGCAATAAGAAATGGAGGCGAAATAAGTTAAAACACTGGTGATGAAAACTATGATAATGTGTTTTCTCTTCATAACTGCCAACAACTCTCCAAATATCACACCTTTTCACCTGGGCGGGTGAACGTCCAGGGGTGAAAGTACGTAACTCTTCGAGAGGGCTAGCCTCCACCCTAATAATATGCCAACTTCAAAATTAAGTATTGAGGTGGGGGCCCACGAGATATCATGTGGCTCCCTTCTAAACACGGATTTCGTTCCATCTCCCAAATGCTTTTTAAGAACAAAGTACTACCCCAGTGTACGACACATCACCGGAAACCACGAAGAAAGTAGACATCGTAACTAGCACAGATTACCTCGTGTCAAGGCCCGGTACACGCAGCATTGATCACGGTGGTAATGAATATCGACCCGCGTTTAAAAACAATTTGCTCGCAAAATTTCGATTGGATAGATTGATGGGATCAGAGGGAACGGTAAGCGGTGCTTGTTGCGTGAGTCATTACCCCACCACCCGACCGTGAAGTTGCGATACATGACCCCACTACCCGACCGTGAAGTTCCTGTGCATGACCCCACCATCTAACGGTGAAGTTCCAGTGCATGACCCCACCACCAGACCGTGAAGTTCCGGTGCAACGGCAGAATTTTGTGACGATTGGTTAACATGCCACAATGACCGGCACAGTCCCCCACGCCTGCTAACTTCAGATGATCTTGAGGGGCGGCTGCCACCGGCTGCAGGTCATCCCAGCCAGGGGCAACAACCGAATGCCTGGGGCGACTCGAGCCCACCCACCACTCCACCTGTAGGTTGGGTGGGGTGGTGGTGGGGGGGGAGGGGGGCTCTAAAAGATTGAACTAGGGGGCAGTAAAGCAACACATCACCATCTAAATCACGTTACCGGACAGCCAACAGTACGGACCATCGTAAACCCTTCAAAACCAATCAGCAATTCAACGAAAAACGCACCCAGTTTAACGGTGAATGCACCATATCAGCGAATGTCAGTTCCAGGCGACAACAGCACCACAGTTGACCCTGACAGAGCTCAAGGCGTGCCCGAACATCTGACCTTTTGACCTGAGCAGCTGCAGCAGTGTGACGGCGTTCTCCCTGACCTGGACCGGGAACGAGTCCTGAGTCATGACTCGACTCAGCGCCGGCACAAACTCCGAGCTGGAACGGCGCGACATAGCAGAGTCAACCCGTCCCTGCACGTGGGAGCCGTGAGAGCACGCAAGACGACGTTTGGCAAACGTGTCGCTAACGCCTGCGGCGAAGCCTCAGGGGACACGGGCACAGACGATCCGGTGTCACCTTCCACGGCGCCCGTGCTGATTTAGTGCATTGGATCCGCACTCGTGCACAGATCCACCGTCATCCAACCCCGGAGCCAGGCGGGGCGCGAAGCTGCCCGCGAGACGACAGGTGCTATGTCTTTAGTTCGTCATCCGCTCCGCGTCGTCGCTCGGCCGACGCGGAGCGTGGAACAGTGACGTCATGTACGCGGCGGGCCTGGCAAGGTGTGTTACCTGAGAATCAGCTGCGGCGGCGTGTGCGGCGCGGTGAGACACAGCGCCATGATGGCCTCGTTGACCATGATGGCGCTGTCCGACTGCAGCAGGCGCACCAGGCTGCCGTGTCCGTCGGCCTCGATCACAGCGCGTGACGCCACCTCGCTCCTGCCGGGTCACGCGGGTCACGCGGGTCGAGCGCACGTCTCATACAGCGGCAGGCCTCCTCACTCCTGCCGGGTCACGCGGGTGACGCGGGTCAGGCGCACAGATACGCGACCACACTGCTTCAGAAGGATGGTGGGCGACGGAGCTTCATACTTCGCTTTAAAAAAATGTGAGCCCCGTAAGAAGCAAACTCCCGCGGGGGATGTACGATTCACACCGCTCAAGAGGACGGGCCGAGGAGACTGGCTGGGGCGGTCCCTGCGATGGACACCACAACGTGTTTCTATCATCTTAAATTACACACTATTTAAATTACAAATGATACATTATCGCAAAAAATATAACCGTTCGATCTAGACATTGAATCACCAACACCATCTTGTGCCGTGCACGCTACCTGACGTGTGCTGCGCACGTTTGGCCAAATGTCCTGTGCCGACCTGCAGAGCGTTGTAACGAGCCGTCGCGCACACATCCGCGTTGTAACGAGCCGTCGCGCACACATCCGCGTTGTAACGAGCCGTCGCGCACACATCCGCGGCGTGACGAGCCGCGCCAAGGACGTGTCATAACAAGGCGCGTCGCACTTACTCGTAGCGCGTCGTGCACAGCTGAAGCGAGTCGTAGTAGACCAGGTGGTACCTGGTGGAGCAGTGCCTGACTGCAGCGTCTCAGACATAGCCGCGTTGTGCCCACTCCCGCCGTGTCTCCTGACTGGTTCCAGAGCGTGTCGTGCCTAGCCGTCCCGCGCCGTACCACTCCGTGTCTTATCTGACCCCAGGCCGTGACGTACCTGGCTGTCCCGTGCCATACCAGTTCGTGCTTCCTACCCGGCTGCGGTCCGTGTCGTACCTGGCCGTGCGGACGACTCTGGCCAGCAGGCGGGCCGCCTCGTGCTGTACCCCGTAAGGACCGTCCCGGCACCCGTCCGCCGCCAGCTGGCGCAGCAGGCCCGGCCGACTCGCCAGCTCGCCACAAGCGGCGCCACTGTCGCCCGCCAGTAGCCGCAGCGTGCCGTAATACTGCAACACGAGACGGCCGGCTCGTTACGGAAGCGGAATGGTAAGAGTGGAGCTGGGGGGGGGGGGGGGGGGGGGGGGGAGAGGGAGTATGCTGCATGTCCCGTTCCAACTATTTATGTTTGCCAAGGTCATTGAACGATGCTTGAGGTAACGGAAATACATGATTTTGCGATCATGTGAGCATTATCTCTTGAGTAAAGCAGAAAAATTCATTTCATGCGGTGTACCGACGGTTGGGGGAAGGTGGACCGAGCAATGCTCCCAAAGTTTCGAAAAGGCAACAACCGGCCTTGCTACCGCGCCCAGCTACCGTGTCATCTAGCTCCACTGCCAGATATTCGCAGCTTGCTCCTAACCCACAGTCGATGCTCGGTCCAATCTACATTTGTGTGGGTTGTAGCTTTCGTCACCGAAACCACTCCATGAACGCCACAAGCATGAGCAGCAGCGAATCAACAAGGGAATCTGACCCTGAGCACAGCATTTGCGACTCGCCACCACTCGCGTTGAATACAAAATCATGCATCACTGTGTGGGGAAATTCAGTGACGCAGACCATTCCGCTTCGGCACCGGAGTCCGTTCGGCGACACAAGCCTGGCCGTTGGCGACGGATCGGGAGAAGCCAGCCGGGGAACCAAACCTGGCCTGGCCTAGCGCTAATCGAGGTACTCGCATGATGCATACCATCAGGGCTGACATTCGGTCCAATTTTACCTACCCTCGTGGGGGCGGTCACATCGGCGATGGAATCACTCCGTGAAAAGGCACAAATTCTGGCTGTCGCGACGGACACACCAGTTGCACATACGTTTCCAATACCGCAGCATCAGTACTGGAACAAAGTACCGACATAATCATAATCATAATGTATCGATATCAAACAAGCACATCACACAGAGCGCCTTATCTCAAATCGCTCATTACAGGGCAACGATACGTATCATCTGAAGGTCCCAGAAAAGATAAAGAGATAAGATGGTCCGCTTTTGCTGCTCCATAGAGCAGTGCAATGTCCCCTGCCGGAGGCCGGGACCGCGTCGCTCCTTTTGAATATCCTGTGTCATGTTAACTCCCCAACGACGAGGGAAGCTCTCCCAATATGGTGGTGCGGGAGGGTGACAGCAAGTGAGCAATTTTTGTTATTTCTTCCCAGCCCATGTTCACAGGGCCAATGTCAAAGCTTCACAAAAGAACGAAACTTTGTTGCTACGACCCACCCCGCAGTCCCAGTATACAGTGGCCTGTTCAATAAGTGTTTCAGCAACCCACTTCCGCCAATTAGGGCGGCAGCCTCACCCCCCTCCAATGCGCATCTTTGAGGAGAAAGTGGGCAAATTCCCGGGAGAAACCCATTCGCCGACTACTTTGGGCGCACGTTATGTCATTTTCTTAATGCACATCCCCTCCCCCCTTCAACACATTTAGTGAAACTCCGCTCCTGCCCAGGGGTGTAGTTCTCTATTCCGTTCGGGGTTCAGCCCCGCCCTCACCCCCAAACTCAGGCCTCAGCCCCATCTTTGGGAAAAAGTGAGCGAAATTCGGGTAGAAACCTGCTTGTTAGCATGCTTTGCGGGAAGGCTGGGTCATTTTTCACTGTTCCCCGCCCCTCCCCTGACTCGTGTTGCGAAACTACGCATTTCCCCATGCCACTTTCGCTGTTTCTGCTCCAACATATGGAACACGGCACAATCGCTACAATCGTGGACACCGTTAAAATAGTGTTGCTCCAAAAATAAGCTACCGCCATTGTCATGCACCCATCTCTATTTCAAAAGCAAGTACTTGCGGCAGTTATGGCGCAGGAAAGAAAGATTTCCGGCGCCGGCGTGCGACGTGTGTGGGAGCGCGCGGAGACGTGTGCGTTGTGGAGTGGTTGCTGTAGTTTGTCAGCCGCATTCGGGGATGATTTGAGACGTCTCGGATTGTGTCAGGCATTGGGAAGCAGACAGAGAAGAGCAAGATCTGATTAGGACTTAAGCAGGAGTTGTTGTGTCGGTTTACTTGTCTTTTGGATCAGCACCTATGGGGGCTACTCCCCAAGGAGCCATACAAGAATTTAAGACCGGCATCTACAAGCCGAGGTGTGCTAAGGCATTGGCATGTGTCATTCTGTGCCATTTAGCCGCATACTGTGCGGCTGTGATACCCCTGGCTCTTATCAACACATCATTGTCCAGCATTCCTAGCCATTGGTGGTCACTTACACATCCATCATCATGGATTTATTGGTTGATTATGGTTGGCCTTACCTGTGCAGCTGGGTTCATTCATGCCGCTTGGTATTCAGTGAAACCAACCACATTTCCCAGCTGGCTCCATCGAATGTCACATCTTGCAAGCATGAATGTGGCTGGGACTATCGCAAGCTTTGTGGTTATCTCAACTTTTATGATGCGAAGCTACCTAGGCCTGTTTGGATCAAGACAAATTGCAAACTTGTTTGAAACATGTTGGGGCAGTCAAGATGTGAAGTGTGTTAATGAGTGGCATTTGTTCCTTGTATGTCAAGCTGGCTTCAGCAGCATATTTCTGAGCACAAGTTACTTTTTGGGCAACAAAAAGCTGGTCAGCTTTCCCATCATTCAGCAAAGATTTTCAGAAAGAATACAGACTGCACTGCAGGTCAATGCATGGCGAGCGATGGTAGACAACCTGCACGTCATGAAGTGGTTTTACCTCTTCTACTTCTTTAGGGGTGGATGGCTGTGCAACTTCCTCACCAGCAACCTAGATGCTGTGAGGGAAGGAATCCCTGTGGACTCATTCCTTGGCCTTCTGAACATACATCTCTTCCTGAATGCCTTCATTCTCGGAAGCCTGGCAACATTTGTCTTCCACACGGCTTATCCGTGTTTGAAGTGTGCCACACCGACTTGCTGTCACTGGACGTGCAGTCCACCATGGAGGCCAGCCGGCCGCTGGTGCTGACCGCTGCCCTCCAGGCGGCCGACGCGCCGCTGCTGCACAGTCTGGCCTTCCTCGACCTGGCTGAGCTGGCGCGGGCCAGCGCGGAGCGGCGCGGCGCTGCCTTCCGGCTCAGCCAGCCTGGCGGCCACCCGTACGTCTGGAACCAGCTGGCGGCCGCCGCCCTGGCCCAGATCACCGGCCTCACACTGCAGCTGGAGGCCGCGCTCTCGCCGGCCGACAACAACAACAAGGCGGCGCCGGCCGCCGCCGCGGCCCGGCCCGACTTCTCCAACCTACGCAACCTGGCCGGCGGCGGCGGCGGCGTGCGGCCGCCGGCGCCGCGCCCGCAGCCCATGTGGGCGGCGGCGGCGGCGCGGCTACGGAGTTGGGCGGCGCGGCGCCCGCTGCTGGGCGCGTTGCTGGCCGAGGCGCCGGACGCTCGTGTCAGCGCCGCGCTCGCCGGCGGCCGGCCGGTCGTCTGGGCGGTGACCGGTCTGGCCGGCCTGGCCGACGCGTCCTACACCGAGGACCGCTACGGGGTGGCGCAGCGCCATCTGGCCGACCTACTGCGCGCGCTGCTGGAGCTGGCCACAGCGTTGGAGCGCGCGCGCCGGCCGGGCGGCGCATGCTCCGGCCGCGGCGCGGCGGTGACGCGCGTGGCGGCGGCGCTGCGCGCGGCCACCACCACCGCCCTCTTCCGGCTGGCGGCCACGTTCGGACCGCACCTGCGCGGACTGCGGCTCGACGAGGCGACGCTCGCGCGACTCGAGCCGTACCGCCAGTATGCCGAGGGGTAGGCGGCCGAGGAGCGGGGAGGCTGGCCCCGGCCGCGCGCCCCGACAGCGGCCGGAGAAGTCGCACCGCCGCCGTCGAACGCGCCGGACGGCGGACCCTGAAACGAGGGTGTGCCCCGCCCGTCTGTGGGCGGGATGCAGGCCATAATTCGTGATAGCTCTGGGCGCCTGTCTGCTTCGGGTGTTGCCTAAACTGATGTCCTGTGAGGTGCGGGTGGTTTGGTCCTAACACCGGAAACGCCGCGCGCACCTGACACGCGCCGCAGAGACCCTGACCACGCAAGGCCTAGTGTCGCATCTGCGCGTGCGAGAAAAGCGGTCAGTGTATTGTGCGACTTTCGGTCGGCCACTCGGTCGGCTTTTGTGCCGGAGCAATGTAGCGCGCGTGGGTGCTGTAGCATATGCGTGTATGGTTGGCTGGAATGCGGAGTGTGGAGGGCGGGCATTGAGGCTGGTGAGATTTACGTGAGTTTCCAATAAAGTAATCGTTCAATCTGTAAAGGTTCCTGTAAAAACTTGGTGCGGAAAGAGCCGTGAAGATGGTGAGCTGGACTGCACGATCCAGGGGGCGAGCCCACTTGTGTCCTACAGCTGCATAGCAGCGTCTGGCCTGACACATTACAGCCAGAACAGTAAATGGATGGTGTGCGGATCGGGAAAAATGCATAGAAGCACTAACGCGCTCTGAATTTCCGGCGTGGACGTTGATCTAAAAAATACAACTCTGGGAGAATGAATGGGTCCAGCCCACCACAAAAGTTTCCTCATTTCATTCGTCTGTAACTGGTACAAAATAGTCTCGCCAGACTGAAGAAAATTTTTGGTACAAAAGTTCGTTCAAGCCCTCACAGGTGCGAGCCGTGGAGACATTGTGCCAAGTGGACCTCCTGCTTAGCTAACGGCTTGATCTCCCAGAAACTGTGCTTACCTCATCAAGGTACATGCTTTGATTAAGCCCGCCCCGAAATAATTTGTTATTCACTGCCCAGAAAGCTGCAGCGCCTCCCTCTAATTCGCATGGCATCTCTATTGACAGTTCCTTGCCTTTCACACAAGTTCTTTTCGAAAAAGTAGGTTCACACCGTAAAACTTAATTTTGGGGGCATTGTTTTAGCATCATTGTCAACATGGCAGTTCCTCAGGTTCTCACATCGCGTGCCAAACAATCAGCTGGCTGATTTCACTCCTAGGGTGGTTAGCCGGCGCTGACGCACCAAACCAACTATTCTCCGCCATAATGCACTGGGGCTGATCATGGCGTAAGATTAATGCAACGTTTTAACCTTGGTCCGGTGAACGTGTCTCCCACTTGATATTGCACTGTTGTTTCACAGGAAGCGAGTAATCTAAACCGCGTGCGCTGGAGCAGTGTGGCAGGGGCCGGGGTGAGGGGTGGCTCTCACGTCACATCGGATGAGTGCCAGTGAGCAGCAGTACAGGCCAATCTGGATGGCTCGAACCAGTTCATGGGGAGGGGGGGAGCAAAGCGTACTCACGGCCCAGTATTGCGAGATTGCAACAATACACTGACGGCCGCGCCGGAGAAGACGGAACTGTGAGGTCCTTGGCATACCACATCACAATAATTCTTGATAAGAAGCTCGTGAGGCCAATGTCACTACCCCGACCCTGGCAAAGAAAAGTGGTTGGAAGTGGCAGCGGCTTCATATGTTCCCCAAATGTGTACACAAACGGCGTGAACTGTTCCACTTAAATATCGAAGCTATTTTGTTCTAAAACGGTCAAAATGTTAATCTAGAGAAAACCCAAAGGATTTCTGGCGCACCACCAGACACCAAGTGTCTATCAAAGCATGCCAGATGGCTTTGTGGCCATCGCCACAAGCAATCTACATACTTTCTTTCGCTCCAGTTATGGTAAGTATAAGGCGGATTAATGCGCCAGGAACCTGCTCGCCATCAGGTGACGTTACCGGTCACGGGAAACGAACTGCCGCATAGTGAGTAGTCTTGCCTCTTTGGCCAGCACTCTTCCACTTCATCAGTATTTCCTTTCTTCTTTTCTTTCCCCAGAACTCCAGCCAAGTAAGACGGCTATGTCTGAAGGTGCACGAACAATGTTTCCTATTTCATACTCGCGCGTCTCGAAAAATCGTGTGGGTAGAAAAAGCAACCACAACATGGAATGCCTCCGCAGCGTTGACCCGAGGCGAGCCGTGGTCTTCTTGTACTGACCTTGAACAGCACCGGCTGCTCGACCACACAAAGTCCGAGCAGCGTGCCCAGCAGACCGGCCTCCAGCAGCGCCATTTTGTTTTCCGCCGGCAGGCTGAGGTTGCGCAGAAGACTGAGGGCGGCCATCTGCAGCCGAATGCTGTCCGAGGTCAGCGGGGTCACCAGGTCACGGTGCACCCCGGCGCGAACCATCGCAAGGGCGTGGTCATCTGAAACGACATCGGGCTGTGAGGGATGGGGCGTGGGCGGCGTTTGGAGAAGATGGTGGCAAGTTTAACATCAACGCTCCCACACGTCATGGAGAGAAATAAGGCACAAACTGCGCTTGCCTCTACAACTATTCGGAGACCCCACCTAACCGGTATGGCCTGGTGGTTAGAGGAAAATCAAGTCAGGGTTTACTTGATGGTACCCAACCATGGCTGATATCGGCCATGTGGAAAGGGTGCACCGGCGGCTGGACGGGAGGACAAGCGAGGCGTGAATCAGGTCATGAGATCATGAAGGGTGGATGGAACAAACGCCATTATATGGGTTTACTTAACTATATTCAGGCACATCATGAGAGGTTTCAAATGTCCATTAAAAATGTCAATCGCCTAAAAGCAGGGGAGGAGCCAGAGTCTTGGCAAGGAGGGCGGAAATAGGGCTTTACAAAGAGCCCCTGACCTCCCACAAAAAATCACCGGATCTGACCCAATTGACTTCGAGGGGGCGCAATTTCTTTCGTGTCATTTTTATCTAACTGAGAGAGGAGCCCGAGAAGGTACTTGAAAATGCATTTCTGATGGTATTTTGAACTATATTCACCGAATGAAGCAGCGTCAAACTCCATACAATAAATCAAATAAATCTACGGTCAGCCCTTCGGAACCTGCAATCAGGATATAAGGGGGTGGCATGTGCCCTCCGCCTACCACCCCTGCCGGCGTCAGGGCCTACAAGTACGCTAAGCGGGCATTGAAAGCATAACACATTGCAGAAAGGTAAAAATAATTATTAAAAAACATATGAAGCTGTGCAAACACTGAGCCAAATAAACTTCGATTTCCGGTTTGCGGAGAATAGCTTTATGCGCCGGTGTGGGTCGCCATGGTGACTTTGTCACCTTTCCCGGTTTGGAAGAAAACACGGGACTGGCGGACGCGCAGTAAGAGATTAACATCCCGAAATGCTACGCCACAGCTGCACCAACTTTACTATGTCTTAAGCAATGCTGATTATCACCGATAGCGTGCATAACATGTTTGAAAGGGCCATTATAATCTCCGCAATCGGAGGATGCCCGACGAAACATCACCACGGAATATTGCACTTTCAGATTTCACAGAAAGCCACGACCAAATTTCCGTGAATGTCGCCCTTGGCTTTCACCACATGACGTCCTTACTCAATAAAAAAAACCCTCGAAATCATAAGATATTTAACTGTAATTCCCAGTGGTATGCATAGTACGACCGGAATGCTGCCGCAAACAGCCATCAAAAATAACCTCTAATGAAAAAGCAACGAAGTCCGTTACGACGGCGTCAGGACATGGGCCCCGTGAGTCTCAAAACACCTCAGGACTTCGAACTGCGGAAGCCGACGACGACGGCCAGCGACGTCAGCGTGCCACGGACGTCCTCCTTTATCAGCTTGGCACAATCCTCTTCCACCCACCTCATCGACCAGTCGGACCAGTTTTTCATCGTGCCCGGCCTGGACGGCGCGCTCAGCCGCGAGGAGTTCAGCAAGCTGACGCCCAACGGGTCGCCGGAGAAGGGACGCAACAGCGAGGCGTGCTTCACAGAGATGGCGGCGGCGCGTCAGTCGCTCAGCGATCTGGCCGAGGTGGCGCGCCGCAAGGAGCAGGAGTGGCGCACGCTCCAGGAGCTGCGCATCCGCGGACTGGAGGACGCCGTGCAGGGCCGAGAGCAGTCGCTGCAGCAGGAGCGGCGCCGCTTCCAGCGCACCGTGGAGGAGATGACGCAGCACAAGCGACAGCTGGAGGAGCAGCTGCGCGACACCGGTGCGCGCCGCCAGGACGTGGAGGCGCTGCAGCAGCAGCTGGAGAAGGGGCAGGCCGCCGGGCGGCAGGCGGCGCAGGAGAAGGAGTCGCTGCAGGCTAAGCTGACTGACATCATCGCCAAGCAGGAGGCCGTGGAACGAGCGGCGCAGAAGCTGCGCGAGGAGAACGAGGAGCTGGCGCACAAGAACCGCGCGCTGGAAAAGGAGTTGCAGACGGCGCGCAGGTCCAGCGAGTGGCTAACCAAGAGACTGCAGCACGCAGAGGAGGAGCGCGAGCGCTCCGCCAACGCCGAGCTGCAGATGAAGGTCAGCGTCGGCAAGATCCAGGGCTACCTCAAGGAGGAGGAGAGCGCGCTCGACCTGGTCCGCGCCGAGCTCAACAACGTCAAGGAGGCGAAGGAGACGACCGAGATCGAGCTAAAGGCCGAGAAGGCGGCGCTGCATGAGCAGCAGGAGCGCACACGCAAGCTGGAGACGGAGTGGAATGCCTCGCGAAGCGAGCTGGAGAGCAAGCTGGCCGACAAGACCAAGAAGATCAGCTTCCTGGTGCAGGGCATCAAGACGCTTGAGACGGATTGGAAGGAGCGCTACTGCGAGCTGCAGCAGACGTCGGCTGCCACTGTCGACGAGCTGGAGCGCTCGCATGCCGTCGAGCAGGAGCGACTCCTGGCGCTCGTGCGCTCCGGCGAGGAGCGCGCGCGCCAGGCGGCACAGCAGGCAGCCGGCGCGCAGACGGAGGCGCAGCGGCTGCGCGGCGAGCTGGAGCAGCAGGCGGCGCAGGCGACCGAGGCGCGCCGCGAGCGCGCCGAGGAGCGGCGCGAGGCGGCGCAGCTGCTGGCGGCGCGCGACCTCAGCCTGGCCGAGCTGCGCGGCCAGACAGAGCGACAGGCGCTGCAGCTCAGCGAGCTGTCCAGCGGCCGGCCGGCGCGCGACGCCGCCGCCGCCGCCGCGCAGCTTGAGGAGACGCGCCGCCTGCTGGCGCAGTGGCAGGCCGCCTGCGCCAAGCTGCGCGACTACGCCGAGCGCGTCACTGCCGAGCGCGACCGGCTGCGCGCGGCGCCCGAGCCGGAGCCGGTCGCCGCCGCGGCCGGCGCGCAGCTGGAGCGCGAGAACGCGCGGTTACTCGGTCTGCTGCGCCGGCTGCGCGACGAGCTGGAGCACGAGCGCGCGCGCCGCGAGGCCGCCTCGCCGCACTGCTCCAGCTGCTCGACGGCCGACGACGCGCGCGCACTGCAGATCCAGCAGCTTCTGCTCACCAACGCCAAGCTGAACGAGACCATTGAGGCGCAGTGCGAGACGGTGCGCGGCGTGCAGAGCGAGCTGGCGCGTCACCGCGCCGCCGCGCACAGCACCCAGTTCCTGCGCCAGGAGACGGCCTACCTGCGCAGCCTGCTAGAGGCCGGCGGCGAGACGGACGTCATGCAGCCTGCCGACGCCGCCGGCGACCCGGCCACCGTGCGCGAGCTACGCTACAAGCTGCAGCTGGCGGCGCGCTACATCGCGCACCTGGGCCGGGAGCGCGCCGAGGCGCAGGAGCGCCAGCGCCAGCTGGAGGCGCGGCTGGCGGCGGCGCAGCGCGGTCCGTCGCTGCCCGACGACCTGGACAAGCTGCGGCTGTCGCAGCGCGCCTGGAGTCCGGCGCGCCGCCGCGCCGAGCCGGTCGCCGCCGCCGCCGCCGCCAGCTTCGCCGAGCTGCTCGACCAGCTCAACCACATGCAGGTGGAGCCGGAGTCGGCCTGCGGCGAGTGCGGCGCCTGCTCGGCCGGCACGCAGACAGCGTGCCGCCACGTGCTCCGTGCTGCCTGCCGACACGGGTACGTGGCGAGCGCGGACGAGCCGCCGCCCGTGCCGCGGCTTGTCGGGCTCGGCGACTGCCGCTCGCCTGGCGCCGACGGCTCGTGCTCGTCCGACGAGCGCACGTCCAGCGGCGCCACGGCAGGCACCGGCGACGCGCCGTCTGCCGGGGAGGTGACGGCGCCAGCGGCCGGCCGGGCGCGCATCCGCAGCCGCTCGCTCCCGCACAAGCGACAGCACGGCAGGAAAAAGTGACCGCCGCCGGCCGGTGTAGAGGAGGGGAGGATTAGGCAGCTTGGGGCGAGCCGGGAGCGTCTCCGGTCGCCAGGGGGACGACACCAACGCGGTCTGATGGAGCATACAGCGATCTTTCGCAGCTTGGAACACGACCTGTAGTCGTGCCTGCATCCCGAGGTGCGTCTAAGGAAGAATTTCCCCCATGCGAGTATTCCATACTGCTGTTGGAGTTGCCTGGCGACTCATCATGTGAACACGCCCCGAGATTGCGGCGGTGCGAAGTGTGGCAACAGTGGCGAACAGCCCCCGAAACGCTGACGGCACGCCGCGCAGCGCAAACAAAGCTGGCCAGGTCCACGGACGTAGCGCTTATAGCGTATAGCGCCCCCGTCTGCGGCCGTCACTGTGACGCTGTGTGTGTCACACTGTCACGCTGTGTATGTCACTGTGACGCTGGCCAACAACCTTGTTCGGTCGGGCGCAAGTAGTGGGTAACGTCTGAGGAGACGCATCTCCTAACCTGGCCCGACAAGCGCGTAAGTGGCGCGCAGTCGATAGTCTGGCTACGTGATGCTTTCGTGTTCGTAATGTTCTGATTCGAGCGAGCAATGTATATCATTGTTACTATGATGTGCCTGTTAGTTGTCAAGTGTGGTTAGTGATGTAAAGTGGTGAAACCGCCGGAAATAGATCAATCAGCCCTTTTGTTGATTCCGATTCCTGCAACACACACCAGATGTACCAGTTTGGCGTCACTAGCAGTTTTAGTCCCTCGCTTTCCGAGAGCAGAGCCGATTAAATTGTGAGTCGCCAACTTACCACAAGGCTGAAGGCCCACAACGAGAGCTTCCAAAGGTGCGCCACATCTCCGCCCATGTCTACACGCGTTCCAAATGGATTAAGATCTCCTCCCTCCCCCATGCCCTCCCCCAACCTAACCGTTCGTCGCGAAGTTGCCGAGCGCGTGGCACGCGCACGCCACGAGCTCCTCGTCGGCGGTCGGCTGGTCGGCGGCGGCCAGCCAGCGGCGGACGGCGCGGTAGACGGCCCCCTCGCCCCGCCGGTACACAGCCGCCATCGCCTCGTCGCCGCTCAGCAGCTCTACCAGTAGGCTACGTGCGTCGGCCGGCGCCTGCTTGGTCGGCAGCAGCCGGCAGAGGGCGTCGGCCACGCCCGCCTGCGCCAGCGGCAGCTTGGTCTCGCCGTGGCGGCACCAGGAGGCGGCCGTGTCCAGCGCCTCGTCCAGCACGTCCGCCTCCTGACGACGGCGTGTCGGCGTCAGTGCCAGCGGCGGCGCCAGCGCCACGCAGTGTGGCTTCTCAGGTCTCGCGACGACACCGATGCGGACACAGGGGTCAGACAGCTGGTCGAAACGGGCACACGCGCGCACGCGCATATGTGGCGACAGTCAGGGAAGCCATCTGCCCCCCCCCCCCCCCCACACACCCCCGTCCCCGACGCTGGCAAAAATTCACCGTCAGCCTAATGGTGTTGTACGAAAGAAGCAGGCCTGCTACCGCTCCCCTAACTTATCACCGCTACCTCCGCCCCTGTAGCTCACCTGTACTCTGCCAGTCCTCTGCCTGTGTCTAAGTGAATTAGATTTCCTGTTCTAAACCTAAACAACGGTTTGAGTGCGCGCCCACAGCATAGGGACACGACTCGGAAACACGCATGATATGCATGCAAACAAGCGCAGCGACTCAAGAAGACATAAGACGCTGGAAACAAACTATCCTAGGCCTGCGAGCACGAGTATTGCACTTATATAAAACAGATTACATCTCTCGGACCATCCTACACAATAAAGCTTACTTATCCTCACATTAACAGAGTTTCAATGCGTTTTTCGCGCATCAGAGTAAAAAGTCGTGCGGCACTTTTCGCTCCATCTACATTCGCCATTTTTCTGAGCCCGGTCCATGCGCCCTCTCTCAGTCAGAGCAACGCGAGGCACGTCCACCACTCCCTGTCCCTGTCCCTGTCCCTGTCCATGGCCCTGTCCCTGGCCCTATCCTTGTCCCTGGCCCTGACCCTGGCTCTGCACCTACACCTGCAGGTGCACCTGCCCCTGCCCCTGCTCCTGCTCCTGTCCCTGCTCCTGCCCCTGCTCCTGCTCCTGCCCCTGCCCCTGCCCCTGCCCCTGTCCCCGCCCCGCCGCTGACCTGGTCTGGCTGAAGGCAGGCGGCCAGCAGGGGCGCCAGGCGGGTGTCCAGCAGGCGGTGCCGCTGCGGCGACTCACACACCACGCCGGCCACCACCAGACTGTGGCGGACGAACGTCGACTCTGAGACGGCGTCGGCCGCCGCCGCCATCAGCTGCGTCAGCACGCCCGACTCCACCGCCTGCCGAGCCGTGGACCGGTCACCGGATGCTCTGTACGTGGTGGCACACACTGTGACGGCCGGCAGTGGTGCACCCTGTGACGGTTGGGAATGGTGCACCCTGTGACCGTGTGCTCATGGTGCACCTTGTGACCACGTGCCCCCTGTGACGGTGGGCCTACAGCCGCGCGGTGCGCAATGCGATGGGCGTTTCTGACAGTTCAACCAATGCGACGTTGTCAACGATGTGGAAGTGCGGTGTATCATCGACCACAAACAATAATATATGCCAAAATATCATATAAATACCCAAATCCAGAGGTTAGCGCTATCCGAGTTGAGACGTGTTTGGGAAAAATCCACAACGTGAATATGGCTAATGAAGGGAAAAGCGCATGGGACGGTAGTTTTGGTACTAGATGGGAACATTGAAGAAAACAATGTAAGATACTTTTCAGACGGGCAACTGCATCCCGGCATTTAGAAGTTGCTTAAGGTCACCATTACGTAAGATATTCGGTGTATTAGCGAGGAACATTATACACATTGACAAGACGGTAGTATTAGCTCTATTCCTCGGAGAAAACCAAGAGAATGGAGATATAGTTGGATCGATATTTCGGCAACATGCCTTCATCGAAACAATAGCAGAAGTGCTTTCGTACTCTTGTTTCGGTGAAGGCACATTGCCGAAATATCAACCCAACTACATTTCTATTCTCCTGGCTTTCTCCGACGAATAGGGCTAATACTTTTGTCTTATATATGTTGCTTAAGGTCTATTAGTATTGCTTGTTGCCAGTATAGCAACAAAATTATTAAAAGGCGTCACGGGCAATAACAATGACAAATAGAGCGTGTATTTTTTCTGAATATACCTGAGGAGCTGCATGAACAGAGAGTGAACAGAACAGAGAGAGCTCGGCCATCGTATCAGCCGCTCATCACACCCATGCTTGCCGGCGTTCACGGTATTACCTGCACCATGCCCACAGCCCAGCGGTCTACGGCGCTCCTCGCACCCCGCCCACTCACCCAGTCGATCCCCGCGGCCCACCCACTTACTCAGTCGATCCCCGCACCCCACCCACTCACCCAATCGATCCCGCGGCCCACCTACTCATCCAATCGATCCCCGCACCCCACCTACTTACGTAGTCGATCCCCGCACCCCACCCGCTTACCCAGCCGATCCCCGCACCCCACCCACTTACCCAGCCGATCTCCGCACCCCACCCACTTACCCAGTCGATCCCCGCACCCCACCTGCTTACCCAATCAATCCCCGGACCATGGTCGTTCACAAAGTTCAGCACGAGCCCGCTGGTCACCTCCCGCGCGCGCGCGCCGTCTGGCGGTGCCTGCAGTGCGCGCTGCACGGCCGCCTCCAACGCGGCCGGCCCCGGCGGCGCCAGCAGCGCGGCGCGCGCCGCTGCGCTCTCGTAGCAGAGGTTGCCGAGCGCACGACAAGGCTGCACCAGCGAGGCGGCGTCGGCGGAGGCCAGCACGGCCACCAGCGGCGCCACCAGCGCTGGCCGCGCCAGACGCTCTCGGCACGCCTGCTGCTTGGCTAGCGCGGCCAGTAGGCGCGCTAGCGGCTGTGGCGGCCAGGCAAGGCACTCGTGTGCCAGGAGCGCGTCGGCGAGCGCGCCGGCGGCCGGCGGCGCAGCTCCCTCGGCGGCATCGGCAGCCTCCTCCAGGGCTGCCTGTAGTACCTCCCTTGGTGACTCTGGGCTGAGTGATGACAGATGTACAGCTGCATCCATTGTGGTGCCACTGGAAGACAGGCCAAAGTCTGGCAAACAGGTGGAGAGAATGGACTTGCAGCTGGAGGTGCAGAGAAGAGACAATGAGGGACAATTTATTACCCACATATGGCTGCAAAATAGTTAACAGGGGCTCTGTTATGTTGTGAAGCAGCCATATGGAGTGGGGACAAAAAAGGCAGCAGTCTCAATGTACTGGCTATGGGCAAAGAGGAATGAGTCAATGAATGATATAAACTGAAAAGAAACACTGCTCAACAAAAACTTGATATAGATAAGATATATACCCTCATATCAATGAGTCACAAGTCATGATGTTTCAAAATTGCATTTAACAGTTGTTACAATTATCAGAAGCTCATGCTTGCATGTTATGAAAACCCATGCTCAGATATTATAACAGCAACTGTTCCTTCATAGCTTAAGACTAAAGGCCAAGCTCCTCAAATCCAGTTCTTCAAGAACCCTGTTTGTAACTTTGGTATCAGCTTGTGGACTTTGAATGTAATTTTCACATAGGACAAGCATGTTTTTGAATGGTATTGGAGGGCTGCTTTGGATCAATGACACTAAACTGATCTAACCCATACACAGAAACTGTATTCTTATTTGGAGAATACAGAGATATAGATAGTTTTCATAACATGCAACCTGGACCAAAATGATGCATTCATATGAAAATTTTCTGAAAAGCCATGTCACTCTGACATACTAACTGGACTGAAAAACAGCATGTACAGTTGAAGAAACAATTTGTGATGTTCTAAACAAATATGCACGGCACAACATAAAAACAGAGCTTCATTCCCCATCAGTAATTCTGCATCACAAAAATCACATTCAGCCCCAGACATGAACGAGGCAATTCAGCAAATCACATCTGGTAGCACGAATTCCGATTAATCCTAGTGTTTTGATTACCTTGACTACGCTTGCCACTGGGCAGTTCACACCCAACGAGGTTGCTGGGATGGTCCAGAAGCTGGCCCAGTAGCAAGCTCTACCAGGCTCTCGTGGTTCACAGAATGAGCATCTTTAAGTGCACTGAGAATCCGCTGTAAACAAAAGCTTTTGTGTATGTTCGTATCGCCCACTGGGAAGCCACACCTAATCCAAATTGTGCCGGCGCAAGCTCCTCTATAGCACCGTCAGTCTTTGCTGCGTATCAATCATCTACAAATGAGATGGTATTGTCAGCTGATATAGTTGTTGTCAACAGTATTTTAGACAAATGCTTGCTTTCTTTTGTTTGCTGCGATACTTTTGCGTCTTAACTATCTTATTTTTTATTTACTTTTGTTGTACTATGACAGTTGTTTAACACCAAACCTAGATTGCATTATATGAAGTGAGACAAAGGTAGATTTGGCCACCAGGCTCCCGTTACGCAGCACCGTCGCCTTGACGTTTTACAGAGGTCACAGGGTATTAACATTGGTTACGCCGAAGGTGGGATACGTGCGGGGCGTATCTGCTGTGGGCTTTGTGAACGTTGCGACATCGCATTGATTGCGATTGTGCGTCGTCAGCTTAGCATCCCCTTTCTGTCAGGAATTCGGGGACTTGAAGACATGAAGACCGAGAGAAAAGATGGGCACCACAAGGTAGAGGAAGGCTGACTGCAGTCATTCATCACCACGGCTTATCACCATTATTTCGTACTTAGGACACAAGCACAGTGCATGTGTCTACCAAGTACCCATTTCAGCGGTCACGTCAATGGCCTAACATTTGTGTTTTTTATTCTGTGAAACTATTTGTTGTCATTATGCTGGGTACACCACTACCACATCAGTGTAGTATGCCACTAACACCATGGTCCAGATCTGGACTATAGAATGAAGATGTCTTTGTGGGCCATTGGGTCAGCACACATTTAAAGCAGTTATTTGTACCTATGGGCTCCATATGACCATGGGGATCAGTGCCCTTAAGCCCAAATAATTATCATCATTATTGTACCTGCTTTCAAAAATACCTATCAGGCTTCTAAGCACCAATCAACTTGTATTTCTATGTCCACTGATGGAAATCAGAAGCTTCAGTAGATGTGCTTGTTGGCTGTTTCTTGTTCAAACAGCTGTAGTGTAGCATTTGTTTTTTTAATGTTTGAAGTCTCTGCCAGTCAAGCATCATGTTTAATCAGCAGCAAGGTACCTGACAATGCACACACTGCCTTCTTGATTTTGCCAGAATCCTGATTTATGCTGACCTTAAATCAAGCTTTAAGCCATTCCCTAGAAGTATTGGATGACAAAATTGGGATGTAACATGAAATTCAGGCATAACAAAAGATGGATTACCAATTTTCAATAGTTTTGCTGCAATGATTAGTGGAAATCAGACAGTATTTGCTCCTGCCCTCTGCTTTATGAAAGGAGATCAATCTGGCATTTGTGTGAATGTTTTTGATCACATTGAATGGCTGTTATTGTAGCAAAACAAATTGTTTAATAAAGCCTCACAGTGGAAGGCACTTAGATTTGACCAGCCTTTGAAATCAATTTTTCCAAGAAGGTTTTTCATTTTTCCAAGTGCACTTCCCTCCCTCAAAATACTTGAGAATTTGATACCCAGAGTCCTAAAATAGTGGTAACTGTCAAGCTGATAAACCATTTAAAAGGCACTTGTATATGTACTTCATGCTAAAATATGTCAACAGGACTAATGCAGCCTATACTGGTACATATTCATTCATTGAAACAGCATGTTCATTCAGTGCAAGTTGACATGTAGCAGTGAAAAATAAGATCATAGATTAAGAGGATTGATTTTTCATGTGCTCTGCCCAAGCCTGACAGCAGGTGGCACAAATTATGCATGTCTAGATGAACATGTTGTTTGATGCAGCCATTTTTTATTTTGCCCACTGTAATAATCCTGTCATAGTTGTGTCATGCTCAAGCAAGCTGGTTTAAAGAAAGACAAAATGATACCATTCTTACCATCTGATTGCTGTCATCAACAATAATTACAGTGACAAACTGAGTCTAAAGGCTAATTGCAAAGGATATTATTTTGCTAGCAGGCCTTGAGTGCATTTTTTATTTATTCTACAAGTGATCCATGAGCTCACTCCCACTGGAGCCTTTATCACTGAAGTACTCAGCTGTGGCCTCGCATACACTGTTGAGGCTCAGATGTCATTCCAGGGGGTGCAGCAGGCTCCACAAGGTATGATGACACCCAGTCATGACCACAGACGTACTTCCGAACCAGCATACTCAGCTGAGGTCCAGGTATGATTGCACAGGGCAGCGCAGGTCCTACTTTTGACAGGCCACCTCTGAGTGCTAGGTCTTTTTGACGGGCCCACTTCTGAACATTAGGAGTTGTTTGGGTTGGTGGCATGGCTCTTTTGTCTGGGCCAGCGAGGTGGTGTGAGTATGGGACATAATGTGACTTTTACTGGTCATTGCCAATACCTATGTTGTGTCATGGCCAGTATTCTGATAAAGGCCTCCTACTGTGCTGAGCCATCCTGCCCTTGTGTGCCACCCATGAAGTAGACAGTATGGTCTGTGTGTAAGTTGTGTATTATTAGAGTATATATTGTGTCCAGAAATTTGGTGAAATCTGGGAGCAAGATTTCAACTAAATTCAGGGGTTGGTTTAGATCGGAGTTCTCGCCCATGCACAGGCTGTGGTGGCACCAAATAAAAATGTGTATTGAGCATGCAGCAATATGGGGTCAGTGCGCGAGTTTGGTTTCAGCCAAATAGGAAATGGGTTCCAAAATATGTTTGTTATGCCACAAAAATTGTGACATAGCCCCACTGTGCCAGCCGTTTGTCGGGTCAGCTGCCTGTGGGTTGTTTTCGGCGGGGCAGATATGGGACGTGATTTCTGGGGCACGAACCCGCACACTGCGATAAAGCAATAGCGGAAACAAGTAGAACATTCTACCAACGGAGCTACGCTTCAAACGTGTGCTCTGTAAGTTCAGGAATGCCAGCCCTTATTTGTTACTTGATTGAGGCAAAAGTTATATTGGGGGGCATTATTAAGTCTGTATATATATATATATATATATATATATATATATATATATATATAGATAGATAGATAGATAGATAGAAAGACCTCATAGGGTATTATGTAGACCCCATAGGGCATTTATGACTTTTTGCCTTTGCTTCATCGCATGCGGTCATATAAAACGAACAATAAAATTACGTGGCCTGCAACGCCCTCTGCAATCATAACTGTCACTCATTAGAAGTTAGACTAACGATATTGCTGTTTGACGCTGTCGCAAGTCGAGGCAGTTAAATTATCTCCGCAGTTGTAATCATTACCCGGTTGTTATTACTATTGCGTATGTGTCCCGACCCTCGTTTTTGCAGTGATTGTCGCCAGTATGTTCCCAACGCATCACAACAAAGTCTGGGTCTCCGCCGGTATTGTTTCCACCGATGCTTCCATTGTCCCACCCGACGAGCATTGTCACCAGCATGTCTCCAGTATCCGTTTCCGCCGTCTCTGCCGCCGGCGTGTCGTCTCGGCGTCCGCTAAGTCTCATCATCAATATCCTTGAAGCTCGTCTCCTCCAGGTGTTGCCATAAATACCCCAATGGTCGTGTGTCAGGTATTACAGCTCACTGTTTGCCTCCACTGGGAATTATCAGTCATCACCATCAATCATAACTATCCTTCAGTGTGGCTTTCACCGATCAGCGCCGTCATGTCCCCAGTCTCCGCCGAGTATTATCACCACTGTCCCCATAGCGCGGAGGCCATACCGCATCGTAAGCCACACCTGTCTCCACGGAGCAGTGTCGCCGCATGGCCTCAGCTTCCGCCTCCGTCGCGTGTTACCACTGAGGCGCCGCAGCCTCTGCAGGATGTGCTCTTACCGTCGCGCCCCTCGGTCTCCGTCTCCGCCCGTGTCACCTCGCGGCCCCTTGGTCTCCGTCTCTGCCCGTGTCACCGTCGCGCCCCTCGGTCTCCGTCTCCGCCCGTGTCACCTCGCGCCCCTCGGTCTCCGTCTCCGCCCGTGTCACCTCGCGCCTCTCGGTCTCCGTCTCTACCCGTGTCACCTCGCGCCCCTCGGTCTCTGTCTCTGCTCGTGTCACCTCGCGTCCCTCAGTCTCCGTCTCCTCCCGTGTCACCTCGCGCCCCTCGGTCTCCGTCTCTACACGTGTCACCTCGCGCCCCTCGGTCTCCGTCTCTACCCGTGTCACCTCGCGTCCCTCAGTCTCCGTCTCCTCCCGTGTCACCTCGCGCCCCTCGGTCTCCGTCTCTGCCCGTGTCACCGTCGCGCCCCTCGGTCTCTGTCTCTGCCCGTGTCACCTCGCGCCCCTCGGTCTCCGTCTCTACCCGTGTCACCGTCGCGCCCCTCGGTCTCCGTCTCCGCCCGTGTCACCGTCCCGCCGTCGGCAGGCGCCGCTCAGCCCTCCGTCGGCGCTCATCAGCGACGACGAGCTGGTGACCATCAGCGTGCGGGACCTGAACCGCCAGCTCAAGATGCGCGGCCTTAGTCGCGAGGAGATGGTCAAGATGAAGCAGCGCCGCCGCACGCTCAAGAACAGAGGCTACGCCGCCAGGTGAGCGCGCCGACGGGAGGGCGGGGTGGCGGTGGGGGAGGAGGGGTGCGAGTGGAGGTTGAAGCCACGCAGCCAGGCGCGATGCCGGACGGCGACCCGACCAGGTTTCAGGCCAGGTTTCCTAGCGCTTTGTCTGTGGCCGTACGCTATGCTTTACACTGTCCTGTGTATAGCGTTTGTTCGCGGCGTGCTGTTCCAGGTTTCATGTTGTGCGTTAAGGTCCGGCGTTTGTGCGCAAGAAACCTCCAATGCCAATAGATTATCAATAGTTAACTATTGCACATGTCTTCGCCCAAAGCGTGGTGCCCGTGGAGCGTTCAGCAGCCCTGCTCAACTCCATTTCGTATTATGTTCGCCAGCTGCCGCGTCAAGCGGCTGGAGCAGAAGGACGAGCTGGAGACGGAGAAGTCGACCGAAGAGCACGAGCGGCTGCGCACCATCGACGACAACCGGCGTATGCGCGAGGAGATCGAAGCCTACTACCAGAAGTACGAGGCCATCCGCAAGTTTGCCCAGGAGAAGAACATCCCGCTCCCTCCCGATCTGGAGCACGACGTGCCGCGAATTTAGCTGCAGCGTCTCGTGCGTTGTGTTGGTGTGATGCGGCTGCTGGGCGGGTTTTCAGCTGCGCGTGTTGGGCTTCCGACCGGTGTGGTCAGGTGCGTGCCGACGAACAACCGCGTGGCGTGGGCCTGGACGGTTCTCAAGTGCGGTGCTCAATGAGGTGCTACGGGTGCGTTGAGATGTGTGGCACGAATGGGATGGGAGTGCAGCGACTTGAATCGCGAACAGGCCCCGGTTGTCGTATATGGTTATTTTACGCAATTGGGAGTGCGAAATCGTGTTATGAGTGTGCACCATCACGTGCGCCCCGTTCTTTGGTGTAAGGGGTGAGCAAGGCCGGCATGGTACCCATGGGGCGGGTACATGTGGGCACCAGCTGTACGAGGCAGAGTGGAGTCATGGCCGATTCCAGGATGGTGTCTGTACTAAGCACGTATTTGAGAAGTGTTTGTTGGCGGGCGAAGCCTTACGCGACTTGGTAAACATAACTGCACAGCTTGCTGATGATTTCGTTACTTTTACGTCGGGGAGTGAATGTTTTTATTACGCTGCTGCAAGCGTGCCGTGAATATGATGCGGAGTGTCGTCCAATAAAGATAGTTTTACACATAATGAGCGAGCTATTTGCGAGCTGTTCCGGGTTCGCAAGTAACGAATGGCGGTCGCCGAGCGTCTGGGTCACAGAAAGTGATCAAACGGCGCAGCCATGCCCTGGAGCTAAGAGCGTGGCTAGATCAGCGTCGGTGCGCTTCACTGGGACCGGAAGGCTTTCAAGCCATGACAAATGCATCGCGGGTCTGAACTCGGGTAGCCAGGCAGTTAATGGAAACCAGTTTGCAACGGCTTTGTCGGAATTACATTATAATGCCCCAGCAAGCGTTCCGCCTGCCTTCAGCCTGCACACGCTGTCCAGCATGAAGTCAGCCGGCGGCGGCCGAGAGCCGGGCGCTGCGGAAATCGATGTGGCTGGTCGCGCTTTTCATTTTCCGGCCGGCCGCGCGAGCGATATTCGATGGTCGTCTCGCGGCCTGCCCGGGGGCACAGGTCAGACGTCGTCCAGCCCGTGCGCCGGCCCCCGCGCCCGTCAGTACTCTGAACGGGGCGGGGCGGGGGGGGGGGGGATGTAGACAGGGCGGTTGTTACGCGTAGTCGTCCAGATGGGGATCGCGCGAATGGACTACGGCTGGCGCTGTTGGAGCTGGGAGCAAATCTGGCGGAACTGTGGCGTAAACATCCAAAGTACGAGGGGTTAGCTAAATTTGGGTAAGAAATACACCCTATGTAGCTTACAGCCTATTCCGCGCGACGTCGATCCATTCAAGGGACGTCACACTTTAACCGATTAAAGTTCATCATACACAGCCATGAATTTGTTTTAAGGATGTGGGTGTTGCGTTTCACATACATGTTTGTGAACAAGGCAAAGCATTTGCGCAATCGTTTTCCAATTATTCTTATAACCCACTCCGGTATTCCCTCGCTTTTAATGGCGTAACTTTGCCATTGTTTCGTAGGACTGCTCACGGTGAATCTCACGTTACCGGAAGAAATATACCCCGGCCTAAATCGCCTTCAGGTTCAAGACGAAGGGATCCTTTGGGACCCGATACAAATATATTGGGTGATAACTTGATCCCAATCAGCATATTCTAGTTCGAGATCACATAGACGCATGAAAGGTGAAACGTACGCCCTCAGCGTGAGTACAGGGGATTCGATCCACTCGCTACGAAAATAACGCAACATTTATATATTTCCTCTGTGAGCATCACGTGCGCCGGTTGTCGCGCAGACGTCAGAAATGCCGCATGCTCCGTGGGCTGTAGGAGCACGGAGGGCAATCAGTCATATCAGAGAAGGATACACTTGTCACAGCTCTCGGCGTAGCATGGGAAGAGTTATTTTAGAGGGGGGCTCTCCTATATTTGAGCCCTCGCCCACGCTCCTGTTCTTGCTCTGCTCACCCTTCAGATCAGGCTCAGGGGTAACGCCATGAGCTCAGTGAAGGGCGAGCAGATGTTTTTCATGGCGCTTCTGCCGGATGACGGGCCCCCGCAGGTCAACGGGGGCCCCTTATGCATAACAACCGGTCTTGCGATGCAACCTTGTGAGTATTCTAATTATGCGAAGCTTCGATGGGACGCAACCGAAGGGTAACAAGGGGGATGGGGCTGATGGACAGCGTACCATTACGCGCAGGTGTGGTTGAAACTCATTTAAGCCTTAAAAAAATGTTTCGAAGCCCTTCAGCCGGATACCATTTGCTTCTTCTCACAACAAACATGCGTGCTTCTCTCGCACCACCAGCTCGTTTAGGGGCCAAACGGACGTTAACCTTTTGGGACATTGCTCTTAACGCAGTGTAATCAGAGGGAGAGAGTTTCGTCCCGCATGAACAGCGCGTGACCAGGAGGAGGGGGTTGAAAAATGGCCCAAAATGCGTAAGATAACTAATAGATGGCGTCTGATGAGCCTCCGCCACGAGGAGTGTTTCTTCGGCATAACTGCATCCCCGTCCTGATTATGCCTTTAGCTGATGTGTTATGCAATACTTCGTAGTAGTTAGGCACGAAGCTTTTCATTGGTGGGTTGCTGGAATCAACGCCCCAGCTAAGTCGTGATATTACGGAGTATTGATACCACCAAGTCTTGATACCACCCAGTCTTGATACCACCCAGTCTTGATACCACCGGATATTGATACCATCAAGTCTTGATACCACCGAGTCTTGACACCATCTAGTCTCGATGCCACCAAGTCTTGATACCACCAAGTCTTGATACCACCGAGCCTTGACACCACCGAGTCTGATACCACCGAGTCTTGATGCCACCTGGTTTTGATACCATCAAGTCTTAAACACCACCGAGTCTTGATATCACCGAGTCCTGATACTATCTAGTCTTGATACCACCGAGCCTTGATACTATCGAGCCTTGATACCACCGAGCCTTGATACTATCGAGCCTTGATACCACCAAGCCTTGATATCACCGAGTCGTGATGCCCTCATCCAGGGCAACGGCAGTATTTGGCGGCCGAGGTTTAACGCGGTGTCCTGCTCGGCGCACTCTGTCTTTTCCCCTGACGTCACCTGACATTTGTCACGACCACTGTCACCGGCCGCAGGTCATCCCAGTCCAGAGCAAATAGCCGGCGGGATCCCGAAGGAGTCCAGACGGATCCCAGAGGGAGCGCCTGAAGCGACTCGAACCAGCCCGATGCTGGTGGTGAAAGGAAAGACAGGCACTTTCAACCAACTGAGATACCGTGACGGACAATGCGCTTAATGTATGTGCTTGATGGCGCATGTATGCGTCGTAGGGACATCGACATTGGCAAGCTAGTTATGCGTCTTACACATTTGCAAAATCATCCGTCACTCCTCTAAAGCACGGGTAAACCGGCCTTTGATAGATGCATGTGGAAACAAAATCAAGCACATTTCAGTGCGCGCAAACCAGACCAATACCAGCGGTTAAATAAAGGCTGTCGAACACAGCTGCGACGCTGGTCACATGGCAGCTGAGGCCTCTGTGGGTCGGGAGTGCTCTCCCCCCCCCCCCCCCCCTCTCGACTGTAACAGGGGCCTGCTGTCGTCGTCATTTTCCGATGAG